TACGTGACTTCTTGAGCCGTCATCCCAAACTCTCCCTGTCTCATCTCAAAGACCCTTCCCAGAATCTAACAAGGCTTGTCAGTGGAAGGGCTTTTTCAATGCCACCAGAATCAGAGACTGCAGGGCTGGAAGCCAAATCCACATTCTGCAGGGCACCCCACATACCTCCAGTTGGGGAGCTGAGGCTTGGATGTCTTTCAAATCCAAGGATACCAGTTCTGTTCATGTCTGAGAGGGAACAGACACCTGAGGATTAATCACCCTCAAACATGTTCCTGTACAGAAAAGTAGCTGGCATTTATTCCCCAGCGTTTCCCTGGCTTGCTTACTATCTCTGGCAGGCGGGCTGGCCTCCGTTGCAGAGGCCTCATCCCACCTAGACTCTTTCACCCCCTGTCATCCCCCATCGTGCCCAAAAGCATAGCTGCAGACTCCACAAGCCTGTCTCTCTGAGGCACTGACATTTAACATGTGTCTAGAGGTTTTCTCCCTGTCCCCTGCTGGATCCCAGCAGCACAGGGCACTGTCTAAACCACAGTGAAAAAAAGGAAAGATCAAGAAGGACTGGCCTTCATCTCTGGCCACTTCTAGCAGCTCAACTGCCTCCCAAGAGATTGTAAAATAATCGAGTCTGAAAGAACGGCCGTTTGACGGTGCATGCCACCCAGGATTCTGCACCATGACTAGCATGCGGCTGGGAATTAATAACTGTGAGTGATTATCACGGGAACTGTCTCCAGGAAAAATGACCAGGTTTTTACCATTCAACCTTGGGAAGATAAAATCAGGCCTAGCAGAAAAAAGACAAATGATCTAAGAGCAAATGCAGGACTCTGAATCCACAGAGCATCCTGGGGCCTGATCATACACCTGCCTCGTCTCCCTGTCCCAGAGGTAGGTGACGGGAAGGGGGGGCATCTCCATCCAGCCCATCGAACAACTCTGAATCCTGTGCTCATGCCAGACCCTCCCCAACACTTCCTCACCCTTATTCTTCTCCACTGTCAATTTTGCCTCTCTGTGGGTCTCTGCTCAGCCCTCCCTGTGTGACTTGTCAAGACCCTCCTCATGTCTCCTGCCTTAGCCTCCTTTCTGCTTTCTCTACTTACCACCCCACCCACCCCTGCCCCAGCCCTGCTCCTAAGAGATTCTAGAAAAACAGAAACCCCATCACATTGCCCTACCTAAAAACCATCAATGAATAAGAATGGCAAACTATTTATCCTTGTCACGGTTGGGTGATGGGAACATGGAGGTTTATTTTATTATTTCTCATTACATTTGCGTACGTTTGAAATTGTTCATAATAAAACAAATTTCCAATGGCCCTCCAGGGATCTCAGGATGAAGTCCAAAGTCCCAGACCGGCATTCAAAGTCCCTCAGTATCTGCCCCTACCCAATGTGACCAGCTCACCTCCTGGCCCTCACCTTGCTGTAGCCTCTCTGTTTTCTCAGTCTTGGCACTCAGCTCTCTCCTGCAGCCCTCTCTCTGCCCTTGCATCTCCTTCTTACAGAACACCCTCCCCTTTTGTCCTGCCTGGAAGAAAACACTTCTTCACCCCTTGGAGACCCAATGCAAATGACCCCTGGTGTGGGACACTTTCTCAGATCGCCTCCTACCCTGGGGGGGGGGGCGCTTATTCCGTGGTGATATACAGCAAACACCCAATATGTGTTTAAGAGAGACCAGAATGTCTTGGTTAATAGAATAGATGCAATATTTACTTGAACTTGGGCAAGTAGGGTAGTCTCTCTTGACTTCTGGTTCTGTCTCTATAAAATGAAGATAATAGCAGTACTTATCTTACAAGGCTAAGGTAACGATTCAGCATTCTCTGTATAAACAGCTTAACACAGTACCTGGCAGAGAGAGAGAGAAAGGGAGAGAAAGAGAGAGAGAGAGAGAGAGAGAGAGAGAGAGAGAGAGAGACTGACTTACAGACAGACTTCAATCAAAGAATACAGTAGACAATAATGTAGCTTGTCTTAGATGAAATACTCACTCCCAAAACCTACAGGAAAGGCACTGCTGTTTAGCCCTTCCTGGGACCTAGAAAAATTCGTGGAAATCATTGACATCAAAGTCATAGTTCCTCTCTCGGGCCCAGGGGCCATTCATACTTTGGAGGGTCTTCAGAGGTCGAGGCCGAGGCCGGAGTCCGGGCCCTCCTCCTTGGAAGGACTGTGCAGGTTTGTGGCCGGGAGCAGACCCGACATCGGGGGCTAGGAGGGCATGGGGTTTGCACGAAAATCAGCCCTGGTGACAACCCCCAGTCCGCGAGGTCTTGGTGAGCTCCGGGCGCCTGGGGTGGGAATGCGGGGGTGAGGAAATCTGCGTGGGGTCTGTGGCGGCGCCCCCCACCCGCCGGCCCAGCTCCTCGGGCGCCCGCGGCCTCGTGCGTCACCGGCGCGGGCGGGGGCCGAGCGGAGGGGGGCGCCGCAAGGTGAGGGCACCGCGCAGCCTTAAGACGCCGCGCGTCCCCGCTGCCGCTCAGAGCTCGCAGCGCGGCGCGCCAGCCGGACGTGTGGGCACCAGCGCTGTGCCCCGCTCCCGCCGCGCCCGCTGCCCAAAGCGAGCTCGCGGCCCCCGGCGCCCGAGAGTCGGCCGGGACAAGCGCGGCGAGTCCCCCGGGACCCGCTCGCAGCACCCGCGGCGCGACGCCTCCAGCAGCAACAGGTAAGTGGCCCGGCTCTGCCCCGGGTGCCGGGGTCCCCGCACCCAGCTGGCCCCCGAGCTTGGGTGCCCGGGACGTCCCATGCGCAGCGGACCGACGGCTGCCGAGCTGCCCCAGGCACTGGCCTGCGGTGCGGCCCTTTCTCGCCTTTCCTTGGCCATCCTCTCGCCCTCGCCTTTTCCCTCGCACTTTCTCTCGTGCGTTCTTTCCCCTCTCTCAGTTCTCTTGGGTTTTTTCCCCTCATCCTTTATCCCTTTCTCTGCTTGTCATCGTCTTTTCTTATCCTCTCTTTTTCAATTTTTCTATCTCTATCTCTCCCTGTCTCTCAGTCTCGTTCTCTGTCTCTCATTCTCTTTCACTCTGTCATTTGGTCTTTCTTGTTTCTCTCTCCCTCTTTGTCGCTCATTTTCTCTAAGTCTCTCTGTATGTCTCGCATTCTTCCTCTATCTCTAATTCTCTTTCTGTCTCTGCCTCTCAATCTCTCTCGCTCTGTCTTTCTCAGACTCTCCCCGCCGGTATCCCTGCCTTCTTGGTCATTCTCCCCGAGCTCCCCTACCCCCGCTGCCGCCGCCGCTGCCACCAAGAGGACTGTAGAATGCAGGGAAGATGCCTCCTTGGGGGGAGGGTAGGGGAGCGCAATAGGCATCCTCCTTGCATTTTCCAGTCGCTGCTGTGCTGCTGAGAAGCTGGGCGTTTTATCTACCAAAGCCCACGGTGGCCAAGGCGGCAGCTGGTTTCCATGGCAAAAGAAAGTCGACAGAGAGACAGAGATCCAAAGAGACATGGGTCCAGGCAGAGGAAAACCAAGGTGAGGAGCCATCGGAGAAAGATGGAGAGAGACAGAGATGTATACACTCAAAGATACAGAGAAAGTGTTTACCCAGAGTCCCAGGGTGACAGGAGAGCGAGAGACAGAAACCAACTAGAGAGTGCGCACGCTAGAGAGATAGCTTGAGAAACGGAGAGACGGTCAGGTGAGGCAAGCAGTAGAGCGTTAGAGACCAACGGAGAGAGACAGGCAGACAGAGCGATACACAGAGAACTTGCGCATGCAGAGACAGAAACCGCAGGGAGAGACAGGGAGAGACACAGAGACGAGAGGATCCGAGGGAGACAGAGCAAGAACGCACGTGCCAGTGAGAGACAGAAGGAGACACAGAGAACCCGAGGAAGACGCGGAAACGAGAGTTGGAAAGACACGGAGGCTGAGAGAGACGGACAGGGAGAGACACAGAGACGAGAGGATCCGAGGGAGATAGAGCAAGAGCGCACGTGCCAGTGAGAGACAGAAGGAGACACAGAGAACCCGAGGAAGACGTGGAAACGAGAGTTGGAGAGACACGGAGGCTGACAGGGACCGACAGAGAGCGACGCTGAACAGGTACACTAGGGACCCGCAGAGATCGAGTGTCAGGGAAGTCGACTGAGAAAGAAACGGGGAGACGAGGCAGTATTAGGGAAAAACGGAGAAGCACACGCGCTAGTGAGCGACACACAGACAGTGACAAGCAGAGACAGAAGGATCAGAAAGACACAGAGGGAGAGCCAGGGACAAAACTGAGAGCAAAAAAGACGGAGAGAGCACGCGCTGCAGAGAAAGTGCGTTAGCGAAAGAGACATGCACGGAGAGACTGAGAGAGAAACTGACTGAGAGAGAAATGGGAGCAACAAAGAGAAAGGGAAGAGAGTGACAGAGACCGACAGACAGTGTGCACGTGCTATCGAGAGATTGAGAAACAGAGACATATGACAGAGTGAGAGACGGGTGAGAAAGAATCAGAGGAAACGGTGAGATATATGCATACACATACCCTGAGAGATACAGAAAAAGTGCGCTAGCGAGAGACTCTGGAGAGAGACAGAAATTGGTGATCGTAAACAAGCGGGGACAGAGAGCGCACGCGCATGCGCTAGCGGGAGAGCTAGCTGGAGAGACCAAAACTCCGAGACCCAGAGACAGTGTGCGAGACAAGCAGAGGAAGCGCGCGCACGGGCCGGCAGGAGAGACAGAGGAGAGGAAATCAGAGACGGGGAGAGAGACAGGCGGCGGAGAGATCCGGAGAGCCAGAGAAGGAGCTATAAAAGCTGCCCGCACCTGGGCTGGGGCCGCGCGGGGCCCGGGAGAGGGGTCCTGCAGCGCCCCTGCTGGGCGCGGAGACTTCCCCCTCTCCCATCCACCCAACCCCCGACCCCGCCGGCAGGGGACTAATGCGGCCCGCCTGTTTCTTTTGTCCCCAGCATAGGCATTGAGTGTGGTCCGTGCACCCCTTTGCCGCCGGCCGGTGCCCTCGGCGACCCTGTTTCAAGCCCCCCAGCTGTCGCCATGACGTCCACCTGCCCCAACACCACGCGCGAGAGCAACAGCAGCCACGCGTGCATGCCCCTCTCCAAAATGCCCATCAGCCTGGCTCACGGCATCATCCGCGCGACCGTGCTGCTCATCTTCCTCACCGCCTCGTTCGTCGGCAACATAGTGCTGGCGCTCGTATTGCAGCGCAAGCCGCAGCTGCTGCAGGTGACAAACCGCTTCATCTTTAACCTCCTCGTCACCGACCTACTGCAGATCTCGCTTGTGGCCCCCTGGGTAGTGGCTACTTCCGTGCCTCTCTTCTGGCCCCTCAACAGCCACTTCTGCACCGCCCTGGTTAGCCTCACCCACCTGTTCGCCTTTGCCAGCGTCAACACCATTGTCGTGGTGTCGGTGGATCGCTACCTGTCCATCATTCACCCTCTCTCCTACCCGTCCAAGATGACCCAGCGCCGTGGTTACATGCTCCTCTATGGCACCTGGATTGTAGCCATCCTGCAGAGCACACCCCCACTCTACGGCTGGGGCCAGGCTGACTTTGACGAGCGCAATGCCCTCTGCTCCATGATCTGGGGGGCCAGCCCCAGCTACACTATTCTGAGCGTGGTGTCCTTCATCATCGTTCCACTGGTTGTCATGATTGCCTGCTACTCCGTGGTGTTTGGTGCAGCCCGGCGGCAGCATGCTCTGCTGTACAAGGTCAAGAGCCACAGCTTGGAGGTGCGGGTCAAGGACCGTGTGGAGAACGAGAATGAAGAGGGGTCAGAGAAGAAGGATGAGTTCCATGGTGAGAGTGTGTTCCACCGCCAGGATGAAGGTCAGGTCGAGGCCAAGGAGGGCAGCATGGAAGTGGAAGAGGGCAGCATGAAAGCCAAGGAAGGAAGCATTGAGACCAATGAGGGAAGCGTGGAGGCTAGGGGCAGCGAAGAGGTTAGAGCGAGCAGCATGGTGGCCAGTGAAGGCAGCATGGAGGGTAAGGAAAGTGGCATCAAAGTTGAGAACGGCATGAAGGCAAACAAGGGCCGTATAGAGGTCAACCAGTGCAACATTGACTTGGGCGAAGATGACATAGAGTTTGGTGAAGATGACATCAATTTCAGTGAGGATGATGTTGAGGCAATGAACATTCCAGAGAGCCTCCCACCTAGTCGTCGTAACAGCAGCAGCGACCCTCCTCTGCCCAGGTGCTATGAGTGCAAAGCTGCTAAAGTGATCTTCCTCATCATTTTCTCCTACGTGCTATCCCTGGGGCCCTACTGCTTTCTAGCAGTCCTGGCCGTGTGGGTGGATGTCCAAACCAAGGTACCCCAGTGGGTAATCACCATAATAATCTGGCTTTTCTTCCTGCAGTGCTGCATCCACCCCTACATCTACGGCTACATGCACAAGACCATCAAGAAGGAAATCCAGGATATGCTGAAGAAGTTCTTCTGCAAGGAAAAGCCCCTCAAAGAAGGCAGCCACCCAGACCTGCCTGGAACCGAAGCTGGCACAGAGGGTGGAACTGAAGGCAAGATCATCCCTTCCCATGATTCCGCTACTTTCCCTTGAAGTTAGTTCTAAGGCAAATCTTGAACTGTCCACAACACGAAAATAAGAGCAGCTTTCTTTTCAATGGACTGCCCACAATCACATTAATGCCAACCCATACCATTTCAGGCAAAGGTATTGCACACACATCCTTCTCACCACAAGGTAGATAAATACATGGAAGGGGTAGGAACTGGGGCCTTCCCTTAAAGCTGTGCCCCTCAAAGCACAGACTTGAGGATTCTGACTGAAAATTTCCCCTCAAAGATTATTAGGCTCGAAATTTCTTAAGGCAACAAAAGGGCTATCCATTTGGGACCTGTACTTGGTATTCTGTCTGTTTCCCCAGAGCTGCAACATGCCAGCTTTAGCTCTGAGGGAAAAGGAAGATGATGCCTGTGAACTTAAGGACTTTCAGCCCTTGAGTCAGAAGCTATGGGCCAGGGCTACAGCTTTTATGCTCAACTGAAAGAAAAGCCATGTACAAAATCATTCATGGAGCACAAGAAGCAGAACCTAATGGACTGATCAACGTATGAGCCAAATTCTGAACTGAAGAGCCCCACGGTCTGGTGCAAAGACTATCATGTAAACTAAGACAAAGGCCATTGTGCAGTTAACCAAGAGGGTTTCTAGATCCCCTAAAGGGATCCAGAAAAGCGGAAGGGCATTTATGAAATGGGAAGCTAGTCCAAGGGAAAAGATAGAGAAACAACACACATCCGTGGGGCTAAACAGTTGACTTTTTTTTCTATAAAATCCTGGGTTTATGTATGGGCTGGGATGGTGAATGGAAAATTGACAATTGACACTAAAATATTTTCTGTCTCCTATTTGAATAATGTTGGGACAGAAATCATGCCACTATTTTAGAATTTCCCCTTTGTGACTGGGATTATCATAAGAATTCTCCAGATCTCTGCCCATCACTTATGTTTTGTTTTGTTTTGTTTTGTTTTTGTTAAATAGGCCTTTTTTGGTCAAATAGTATTTCCTGAAAAAAGAAATTCAACTAGGAGTGGCCAAAGTCCTATAAAACTTACACCACCAATCAAGAGCAATGTGCCCATCAGAAATACCTTTTATGTCCGTGAGATCATAGACAAGAAACATGATTTCCACACGGGGAGCAAGGAAGGCAGGATGAACATTTTCCTTCCTCCAGGCATACACATGTGTCATTTCCACCTGTGGCTCTCTTTAAAGCTTTTAAGCTTTCTGAAGATGTAGGAGAGAAATACAAGAGAGTCAGAAATGACAACGAGGATGATGTCACAATACCTAGCAAACGTGTGACCTATTCCAAACAATCCTAAAATCAAAAGATTCAGATCAGACATATCCTAATTATTACTTTTGAAATATATCACTTTGGGAAGACCTTTACAATATCTAAATTATCCCTAGGGTCAATAGAGAGGAAGATTTTTCAAATCCCAAACCCTGAAATTACTTTCGGCAGGGACATATCTGTTTATTTCTGAGGGCACAGGCCATATCTACATGATCAAATAACATGGAACCAAAAAATAGTCAAGCTAGTGTTTTTTATCCTCCTGAAGACCAAATTAAAGCAACTGTACAGCCAACCAACTGTTCATGCAGAAATCCACTGTTAATAAGGGTGGAAGGAGAGGAAGCAGTATTTGGTTGAAAATGGTTAATCAGGTGGTTGTGTGTAAAGATGGCCATATTCAGAGTTTAGCCTAACGTTTGTGTATTACCATGTCTTTATTAGAACTCAAATTTTATTTATATAAATGCCCAGCTCATTTATATTTTCTTTTATCCTCCTAACAGATTCCAACATGAACTTCTCAAGGGGGAGAGGTAAACAGCAATGTATTTGGGCTGTGAATAAGTCTGCATGGGAATTTGAGGTTGCCATGTTCAGAATTCAAGAAAGGAAAGGGGATAGAACCAAATAATATCGAGCTGACTGGTCAAATCAATATGTCCACAAAAACTTTATTAATTCCAACTCCATTAATTTGGAACTTACGGTAATTCAGACAAGGCATGGGGGCTGAAGTTTACTGTTGCACTATCATTTAATTTTCTACCAAAATGTTTAAAGTGAATTAATAGTCACAAATTTGTTATACCAATTTATTGCCAAACTCTTGTATTGATCTGTCCTTAAAGGATAATTGGGTGGAGAGATGGCTATGGGATCAATCCTCCTGTGGCGGGAGGGGTATTGCCTTGCACGTCTGTCACGGTTGAAGGAGCTCACGGGAGCTATAGCCTGTCCTTTGAGTAGAAACGCTTACATGGGTAGGAAACAGGATTTCAAACCTAAGTGTCTCCAAACATTTTGTTTAAACTGAACTTCTTGTTTTATTTTTAAAGCTCAACCCCTTCAAAGTGTATCAGAGAAAATTGTTTGCCAAAATCCCAAATCAAAATGGAACCAGAAACCTGTACGAGTATGGTAAGTCCATTTAACTGCACACACAACATTCTCCAGGGCACTGAGACTTACTGCTTTCCTTTTTTAAGTTCCTCTTTTCCCTATTTTAGTCATTGTCCATTCTTTTGGTAAATTGGATTCTTCAAAGGTGAAGACCTTTTGAAAATAGGAGAGTGGAAAAGAGGACCTTTGAATTAAAAGCATTCTGCTTTGATGACATTTTCTTCTTAATGAACAATAGAGCCTCTGGTTAGCTTGGAGATAGCAACTGCTTCAAATTGTGTGCTATTTTGAATAAAGCACTATCAACTTAATGAGGTTTTACTGCACATACTGTTTTGTCATTTGAAAAATCTGAAAGCATACAAAAAAGTCATCATTAGCCTCACAGATCCTCATGTGCAATAGCTTTCCCTAAATGTTTTTAAAGGATGTATTCTTTTGCCAAGGCCACTTCATATGTGCAGTAAAAAATCCCATTAAAGTATGGGGACCAGACAAACCAGATTTTGAAATGATGTAGTTTTAAATTTAATGATTTCCTTATTTAAGAATAATAGAGCATCGAGCTTGCCAAGGAGTCGCAGGTGCTTTGACTAACACACCAATTTCAACAAGCTTGGGAAGGCAGTAATAAGGAGCAAGCCCTGGGCTTCCGTGACTTCTGTGATTCGAGAGTCCATCTCTAAGATGCCACAAATACCAGCTGCTAGGAAGTACTCTGCGCTTCCAGCTCCCTGCCTACCTCTTGCCATCATACCCACTGCCTTCACCTGCCTCACTCCCTCTCCCCCTGCTGTGCTGGCCCTTCAGGAATAGTCCGTGCTTGAAGCTCTATGTGCTCCCCGACTCCTCACCCATCCTTTCCCAACCCGGAGCTGACAGATTCACAGGGACCTGGGGGCCCATGGAAGCAGGGAAGGAGAGAGCCATAGGAGTGACCAGCAATTAAAGGTATTTTTCTGTCTCCTCCCCGACTCCAATCCAATTTAGAGATGACAGTATACCTACTTCAAATTTAACAGGTAAGGAAAAGTGCCATTTTATGATTTAGGAGGAGGTAGGCGCCTCATTTCTTAACAAAAAAGCACCTGATAGAACACATCTTTGGGGGGGCACATTCAATCCTGTAGATACTGTCCAATTATTTCAGCAAAAAAAAAAACACTAAAAAATATTTTACCTATAAAATTATAAGGTGCCTAACATTGCCTTATTTTATACATAATTAGCCAATTAAGCTAGGTAAAGTTACTTCAAAAGATTTTTTTCATACTACCTGAAGAAGAATTTACATGATTAAACTAGGCTTTCTTTCTTAGACATTGCCAAAAAGCTCTTAAAAGTGTCTGAAACACATCATTTAGAAGAGAAAAAAAATTATGCTTCATCTGGTAATTTGAACTCTCTAAAATAAAACCCTCAGGGGTTGCTGGGATGAAATAAAGAGTAACAATTTAAATGACTGGACTGTATTTTCTCTGGTAACCACCCTCCCCCATATTTTGAGGAAAAAAATCAAAAGTGTTTACCCTTCTTAATGTCTTTTCTGTTGTATTTCTCTTTAAGACAAACCCCAAGCTGTCAGGATAGGTTTCTCTAAGCAACATGTCCTTTCCTTCTAGAGCAGACAAAAGATTACAGGAACAGTTGGCTGCTAGCCAGTTGCCAAGATAAGGAGAGAAAATCTGGTCAGTCATGGCTTTTAACCCTCTCCCTCCTTATCTCTGTCTCTCTCTTATTTCCTATGGGCCGGACTGGTACTCTCAGCCCCTCAAAGCCCTTCTAAGCTTAGGCATGAGGAGACAGAAGCAATGAGCTGGAAACAGCAGACTGTAGCCTAAAATCCAAAACGAAGAGAAACCATTGTCATAAATTCTTTCTAATTACTTAGGAACGATCTCTTCCTCTATGGCAAAGGCCCAGCTTGCTTACAGCAGTCTTCTGCTATAAGCAACTAAACTGGCTGGAGGAAGAAACAGGAAAGCTAAAATCCACTGAACTTGGCCACTGACTGCCAGGTCACTGGCAAGTTCACTGCTCTTTGGTAAGTAGAGTAAGAATCCTCAAGATAAACGAAGGTTGCCAATAGGAGTCAGGCGTTTCCATCATTGCCTCCCAAAGCCTCCATATCTCGAGTACACACACCAAGGGGAAACCACAGTAAGGTGTACACTCTACAAGAAGTTTGCTATGTCTGAGGATTAATTACTGTATCTCTCTCATTCTAAAATATAGACAAAACAAGATGGGTTTCAGTTTGGTGTTTCAAATTTGCGTGGATTTCCTCCCCTTTTCATCTGTGTTACAACTTTAATGTTAAAAGTTTGATATTTTTGTCTTGTTTTAGTGGTGTATTTCCTTTTGTAGTAGTTCTCCTAAATGTAAGCTATAACTGTATATAAAATATAAGTGTTCTTGGAGATAAGGTGCTAGATATTAGATTGTATGTGTTCCTAGATAGTGTCATTCTCAAAAAATGGGTAGTATGTATATGTAAAGTTAGTTAATAAAATGCATGCAGAATTCTAAATGTGACCCACATCTTGGTCGGTTTCTGAAGTAGTACATAGTACATTTGTTTTTTAAATTTCATTTTTAAAGTGTA